TCTAAATGATAAATTAACTTGTAATTTAAAGGTTAAGAAAGGAGAATTGAAAAAGAATAGTTTTTATGAAATATGGGGCAGATTCTTGGAATATGTATTAACAAGAGGAAAGGGGAAAGCTCCAAATCAAGAATCAATGCAGTTCTGGAGAAGAGAACAATAAAAGAAGAGGAAGAATATAAATGGAAGAAGAAGATTACAGCAAGAGGTCCCGTCTACGGTGGTGGGGAACACAATTATATTGTATTTTGATTTGTGTATTTTATGTTTATGTTTTAGATAAATAAAAACTTTTTAAAAAGACCCATTACTTTTACAAACAATGTCTTCTGGTGCAAATGAAGAACAAGAGCCAAAAAGCTTGTTGACATGGGTCAGAGAACTACCTGCATTTTTCAACCTTTCTTTAGAGGTGCCTATGGGAACCTTCATGAAAAAAGGTCTGAGCATCAGAATGTACCACTACATCACTCTGGTGGCAAAAAAAATATTTTCCTTTGGAAGGTTACTTTGAGGATAGAGCACTACTGCTTCAACACTCTTGTAAATGCAATCAAAGTACCTGGAGTGAATTTCTACACACACACACCCAGTATACCTTTTGCTTCACCTTCCGCCCAAAGCATTCAACTTGAGGGAATGGATGCAGGGCAAGATAGCCGTGTAATATTTAGTCTCTTGTTATTGAGACACCAGATACACTCCTGTTGCTTGCTTCCCACTAGGGGAGACAGCCCCTGTTTGCACAATCTCAGCGGGTTGCTATGGAGATTCGTTGCCACCGCTAACTACAAAGCACAGGTACAGAAAGAAGTGGAGGATATGATTTGTCAGGCACAAAGCCCTTGTTTCTGCAGGAAGAGGTGAAGTTCAAAAGCTGGAGACAAACAAAGAGAAAGCACTAGACACTGGATTCTAAAGAGGATGTTTGCCATTGTGGCAACAGTCGCTCCTCCAGCATTGGGAACCATTTCACTGCTTTGTTGTTAGAATCAAAGCATTAGCTCTGGAGGGCCAAACCACTTGAGAGAGACAGTGGAAAGCCAGGATGGAGTCCCCTCACCCATGCAAACACATAACAACCAACACTGCGGATAAACTGCATTAACATTCCCTGGAGCAATGCAAATCCTACAAAAGAATGAAAATGTGAACTCTGGCCTTTGGCAGGTTTTATGGCACTCTGTTGGAGAAGCCAGTTACTTAGCCAGGATGCTAAGTGCAACTCCTGCCACACTAAGATTTCCCCCAAATCAGCCCTATATTCTTCTCTGCATGTGCACATCTGAGCTGTTCTGCACATGCCACCTTAACAATACTTTACGAGACACCTGCACACCCCTAGTTTCTATCTCAGCACAGAAGGCCATTATTCCAACCTTGCACTCCAGGCTTTTGGCCACAGGCAGGCCATTAAAGCAGGGTGGATTTGATTTAAATCAAATTGATCACCATTTAAACGTTTAAAAAACTGGATTTGTAATGATTTAAACCAAAATATCACTTTATTTAAATCACTATTTAAATCAATTTGATTTTTAAAAAAAGATTGTTGGTTTTTACCCACCCTGAATTAAATATTATGCATCTACAGTGGTGCCTCGCTTAACGATTTTAATTGGTTCCAAAAAATTCATCGCTATGGGAAAACATCACTAAGCGAAACACAGCTTCCCACAGAAATGCATTGAAAACCGGATAATCCGTTCCAATGGGAACGGATTGCCGTCCTTAAGCGAAAATCGCCATAGGAAACATCGCTAAGCGAAATGTGGTTCCCCAATTGAAATGCATTGAAACCTATTCAATGCATCTCAACGGGGGGAAAAATTACAACAAATTGAAAAAGAGTCGGAACAAAGTCAAATTAGTTTAGCAAAGGGTTTATTAAGTGCACCTATGATTTCAAGCATTCTAAACATTTTTAAAACATTTTTAAACGTATAAAAACAGCCAACATGAGGCTGTCAAAACCATCGTTAAGCGAAACAGGGGGACCCAAACTGTCATTGCTATGCGAAAATCACCCATAGGGAACATCGTTAAACGGAGTGCAAGATCGCTCCGAAAAAGCCATTGCTAAGCGAATTCGTCATTAAACGAAGCGCTCGTTAAGCGAGGCACCACTGTACTGCAACTACATGAGTTAGCTGCCAATATTGCCAGCTTGCTGCTGCATCTGCCTCTGCCTCCTCTTCCCCACAAGCCCCATTTACCTGCATTTTAATACTCACAAATAGTGAAGAATGATAAGAATATATTGTTACCTCCTTCACCAGCAAGTTTACTGAGCCACTTTGCAGACTACCAATGATGGGAGAGGTATAGAAGCCTCCCTGCCTCCCGCATAAACTCACCTGGATTCAGTTTTGGGTGTGCCAGAACAGACATCACCTCCATCCCGCACAGAAATGTGGCAAGCTGGCAGCAAAGGGGCCCAGGGGTGAAATCTCTAGTCACCTGAGGTGAGCAGGTGAGCAATGAAAAATAAAGCCTGATCTACCTTTACTAAAATTCTATTTCAGGCAATGTAGACGGGACTAAAACCGGTTTCAGATGCCAGGCCAGATTATCATAATGCAAACAAAACAAAAGTCAGCATTGTTTTAAAACCTTGCCTGGTTTACCATAGATGACTAGGAATTTTACCCTAATGAATGACGAAGAGCAGGAATGAAATGGACGCAACTCTTGCCCCTTGCTCAGAGAGCCTGAACCACTTCTGTGCCAGGTGTGGACAAGGTTTGTCCGTCTTCCCCACCAAGGCAGTAACCGACAGAGCAGATGGGATGGACACAGCTCCTGCCCCTTGCTCAGAGAGCCTGCACCACTTCTGTGCCAGCTGTGGACAAGGGAGTTTTGTCCGTCTTCCTCACCAAGGCAGTAACCGACAGAGCAGATGGGAGAGGGGATGGAGTGCCTGGGCCCCACCCCTGAGAGCCTGATGTACTTTTTCTGTGCTAGGTCAGGGAAAAAGAGAAGGCCTTGCCTCTCAACTCTACATAGAAACCAAGCAGGCTAGCATCCCAAAGTGTGGCTGGCTAACAGTAGAAGGACAGCAGGATCCAAGCCTGAGTAGGGTCCCTACTTGGGTTTTGTTTTGTTTTTTGACACTCAGGACTGGGCCTTCCAACTTGAGGGTCTAGCACCAAAAAGGGTGGTGGCAAAAGGATGGAGTAACTAGTGCCCAGAGGCACATCACCCTGCACAAGGAATCACCAGGCAAGCGGAGACAGCTGGAAGGTCAGCCAGACATTCAGGAACCTTCCCAGCCCTGTCTACACCATGAATGACAATACGAAGCTGGAAAGCAAGGCCTGGAAAATTTCTGTTTTTCTCACACTTATAAGGGTGGCTACACAGGAAGGGTTCTTAAAAACAAGTCTGGAAACAACAGAGGTCAAGATTCTTCCACTTAAGACACACAGCACTTGTCTAGGTACATTTTGTCTGCCGTCAATCTCTCACAATTGAGCTTCGGTACTTGATCCCAGGTCTAGCAGCATAAGAGAAGGGGGGGACCATCTCTCTACAAATTTCTATCTTGTCTTCTTTCTTCATCAGTTTTTTTAAAAAAAAACCAAGAACATCTCAAACGATGAAGCCTTTTCTAATAAAGATGCTACTCCAACCCAGCCCATTCATTATTTCAGTTGCTCTTCTCTGTACATTTTTCAGCTCTAAGACACAACACACATCGGGATCAAGATGTCCCTTCAGTGAGAAGGTATAAATGTTACAAAAAGAAAGATTATTATTACTGCTCAACCTGAAGAGCTTGGGTAAGAATTTTACCTTTTTTTGTGTTTCTGTGTTTTAAAATCTTCTGATTTCTGATCATTCCCAGAGCACAAAATAACAATATTAATAATGTACAGATGATTCCAAATCACTTAGGATCTCTCTCACCTGACCCACAGCCGCTCCGATACTCCCGGTGCCGTCAACAATCCCTGTCACAGTTGCCAGGGCCTCACTGGGGAACCTTCTCTCTACAAATTTCTATCTTGTCTTCTTTCTTCATCAGTTTTTTTAAAAAAAAACCAAGAACATCTCAAACGATGAAGCCTTTTCTAATAAAGATGCTACTCCAACCCAGCCCATTCATTATTTCAGTTGCTCTTCTCTGTACATTTTTCAGCTCTAAGACACAACACACATCGGGATCAAGATGTCCCTTCAGTGAGAAGGTATAAATGTTACAAAAAGAAAGATTATTATTACTGCTCAACCTGAAGAGCTTGGGTAAGAATTTTACCTTTTTTTGTGTTTCTGTGTTTTAAAATCTTCTGATTTCTGATCATTCCCAGAGCACAAAATAACAATATTAATAATGTACAGATGATTCCAAATCACTTAGGATCTCTCTCACCTGACCCACAGCCGCTCCGATACTCCCGGTGCCGTCAACAATCCCTGTCACAGTTGCCAGGGCCTCACTGCTTCCCTTCACCACCTCCTGACGCCCCAAGTCTGCAGAAATGGCAGAGCTAATCATGTTGGAAGGGCCACCGATGAAACACCCTATGGGGCATAGAAGGACAACACATAAGGCTATGAAATCTCCACAAAGGATATACAGTGGTGCCTCGCTTAGCGAGGTTAATCCGTTCCAGATTAACCCTCGCTCAGCAAATCCATCGTTAAGTGGAACAAAAAAGCCCATAGGAACGTATTAAAACTGATTTAATACGTTCCTATGGACTTAAAACTCACTGTTCTGCGAGTTTTCTCGGCGGCGGCCATTTTGGATGCCTCGTTAGCGAGGCAAAACAGGATCATTCCCAGAGCACAAAATAACAATATTAATAATGTACAGATGATTCCAAATCACTTAGGATCTCTCTCACCTGACCCACAGCCGCTCCGATACTCCCGGTGCCGTCAACAATCCCTGTCACAGTTGCCAGGGCCTCACTGCTTCCCTTCACCACCTCCTGACGCCCCAAGTCTGCAGAAATGGCAGAGCTAATCATGTTGGAAGGGCCACCGATGAAACACCCTATGGGGCATGGAAGGACAACACATAAGGCTATGAAACCTCCACAAAGGATATACGTGAGACAATGCATTCTCCGCCTATTACTCTTAGATAAGACTGCCATGCATGGCCCGGGACCCCTCGTTGTGCGGTTTCATCGCATAGTGAAGCGTTCGCTATGCGAGGCACCACTGTACGTGAGACAATGCATTCTCTGCCTATTACTCTTAGATAAGACTGCCATGCAACTTACAAGCAACAGCCCACTCAGGCTTGCAAAGACTAAATGTATACCCCTGGAATTGAACAGAAGTTTCTTTTTTTAAAAAAAAAAAGGGGGAGATGGGCACTTTGGGGCCCTCCAGGTTCTGCAGGACAACTTCCACTTGTCCCTTACCACTGGCTCTGCTGGCTAGGGCAGACAGAAGATGCAGTCCAAGAACATCTGGAGGGCCACCACAGGTCCACTCCTCATTTCAAGACAGCATGGTCTTGCAGAACGTTGTGTGCTATGTGCCATCAAACTGGAACTGACTTACAGCAAGCCTGGTAGGGCTTTTAAGGTAAGTGAAATACTGTACTTAAGGAGTGTTATACCAGTTCCAGCCCAGCAGTCACACCATGGCTGAGCAGGGATTCAACCCCAGGTCTCCTGCGTCCTAGTCGGTCACTCTGTCCAATACACCACAGTGGGTATCCCATGTGGCACACTAAAGATTGACAAATTTCTTATGGCATAAGCTTTTGCAGATGACAGGCTGCTTTTCTTGATGCACAAATTGTTACTCTAGTTGGCAGGCGCACATGCGCACAGAGTGTTTAGCAGGCTTCCCTAGATGCTTTTCTAGGCCCATTGTAATGTGGTTCACCTTGGCAGGAAGGAGAAGAGAGTCTATCAGCTGCAGCTCTCTAGAGGATGTTTAACTCCCCACATTTGTCACCAGCTGACTAGGGCTGATAGAAGTTGTAGTCTGGCAAAATCTAGAGGATGCATTTTGCCCAGTCCTGGAATATATAGGAATCCAGCTGTGGCGAGCGGAAGCACACTAGGAACTTTACAGATCACACTTTTACTTCTGCAGCAATGAGACTGCATACTGGTTTGGACTACATTTTCCTTGTCTGCTCTGCAACCATGACAAAATGGGAGCCCTTGTGCCTTACCTGTAAATGCCATGAGAACTGCATTGACAAGTTTGCTGTTTGGTGAACCTACAAAAAGAAAACCCTGTTAGTTCGGTCAGGCCCTTGGGAGTGGATCCAGACTTATACATGTCTGATCTGTCCTTTCTAAACTCAAGTGGAACACTTATAATTGTGTCTTCCACCCACATCTCACTAAAAAAACTCAACCTACCAAAACTGATGGGCTCCTACACACCAAGCTACTTTTGAGCCAATGACTTGTTGCTACTGGGATGGAAAGCATGCTTCTAGCTCACTTTGTGTAGATGTGGGAAGGGGGCAGAGAAAGGTTGTCATCTGTTCAGGCCACACTTTTCACTCTGATCATTCACAACACCTCTTTCAGAAAGCAACCTTCCTGGAGCATTCAGCTGGCTGCTGGTGGAAACAGGATGATGGAGCAGATTATGGATTGCTGCTGGGTTTGAGGGTCCAAAAGGCTCTTCTGGCATTCTTTATCTGAACCCTTGCTGAATTCAGAGCTCCACTACCTCTCTGATCACACATAACTGATGCGAAACCTGGGACAATAAAACCAACCAAATCCTCCTGACTCCACCTATTTAACCCATACTCTGAGCAGCACAGTACTCACGGCTGTATCCAAAGAGAAAGGCAACAGCAAAGATTAAGCTAACGGCCAACACCGGTGCTCTTTTCTGGAGCCGATCAGAAATGTAGCCTTGAATGCTGCCCCCTATAGAAAGAAAGGGAAGGCAGGGCCAGTTAGGAACAAAGAAGATGCTCAGTTCTGTGTCTGAGTCTTAGATGGCACTGATAGTAGCAGACAATAGAAAAAAGAAAAAAAGCAAGGAGGGTAAGATTTCAGTATTTGGAAGCACAGCTGCCTAGCAATACAGATTGCTGGGTGCTGTTCAGTGTCCTGGTTCTTCTTAGGGTTTACAGCCCCTGCCTCTAAACCATGGATGGGTAACCGAGGGCCTCCAGTTGTTTTTGAATTCTGTAGTGGCCCATCAGCCCCAGACAACTGAGCTAACTGTGCAGGATGATGGAAGATGGAACAAAGCCAGGCCTGGAGGGCAGCTTTTGCCCAGCCTGGTCCTCCACAAAGACACACATCTGCTTCCTGGGTCCTTTATAATTTATATCTAGCCCTCCACAAAGACACACGTCTGCTTCCTGGGTCCTTTATAATTTATATTTTGCAACATATACAACACAGGAGGCACATATTCAGCCCCATTTCCCATCATTTAACTCAAGGGTAGGCAAACTGTTGCCCTCTAGATAGCTGATATCACCGGCCATGTCTGCAAGGCTTATGGGAGTTGTAATCCCACAGAGGGCACTGGGCTGCCTCCCCCTGGAGGAAACTGGGGTCTGCTTAGCTTAGAATTGGAGTGTCCATTCTGATACATCTGGTTTTGACCTTGTGAAGTATAGCAAGTGAAGGAAAGAAAAAGAGGCACTTCTGGCTTCATACCTAGAATCCCTCCGACATCGTACCAAATAGAGAGCGTGTCCGCTTCCGTCTCCTTCCAGTCAAAGCTTCTGGTGAGATAGAAGGGCAGCCAGAAGAAGAATGAGTAGTTCACTAGCTTCAAGCACGCGTAGGCCAGGGAATACTGAAACACACCCCAAAGGAAAGCAGTTAGAATGGACGGGCCCTGCAAGCCGAGCCAGAATTATGCTGTGGGTAAAAAGTAAGGGTGGGGAACCTCTCTGAGCCTGAGGACCAAAGTCTGCTGCCCGGAAGCCCTCAGAGGTCATATTCCAGTGGGCCAAAAACCAAAGGATGAGGCGCCCAAATGCTGTGACTTTTTAACTATTACTGGCTACAACAGTATCTTAAGAGAGGTATTTCAGGTTTTAAGAATGGAGGGAAACACAAACATTTACCAAACAAAGGTGCCCCAAATAAAGTGCCGCCCAGAGCAGACTATGTCTAGATGGGCGGCATATAAATGCAATGAATGAATGAATGAATGAATGAATGAATGAATGAATGAATGAATGAATGAATG